ATTATTATTATTATTTTTTTTAAGTGCCAGGGCCATGGCTTGGGGGCGTGGTGAGATTTTTCTGTTTTTTTTTCTCTAGCTGATCACATGCCTGAATTGATTTTTTTTGGAGACAGGCCAATTTTTGGAACGTTCCTGATGAGGGTTGTTGCTGTTTACAGAGGTGCTGGAAGAGGCCTTGGTGGGCTCTGATCCTGAGGGGCCACTCTGTGAACTGCTATTCTTCTTCCTTTCGGCCATATTTCAGGCTCTGGCAGAGGAACAGGAGGAAGTGGCCAAAGACCAGGTGGCGGAAGCGGACACCAAAGGTCAGTTGCTGAGGTTACAGCTAGTGGTGTGCACAAATATTTGAATATTTAACATAAACTAATTTGCAAAATTGTGAAGCCGAAAGTGCACGATAAATAAAGTTAGTCTATCAAAAAAAAAAAAAGATTCTGCTCGCAATCGCCTAAACGAGTCGTCAGGAATTCGAATCCTATTCTGTTACGGCTCTACGTTGCAAAGTAACACATTTGCATAATGTCTGCCCACGTTCTACGTCGCCAACTTGCCCGCCCACAAACAGTAAAACATCCGTGTGGTTAACATCATGTGGAGAAGATGCTGTATCCTACGCTGTGAGAGTAAATTTGTTTTATCACATCTTATAATCACCACAAACTTGTTAACACTTGACACTTACCACTGAGAAACGTCCTGCTCCAGTCGTGCTTGAGAATTAGTCTCTTGTCGATTAGCCAGTTCAACCGTTTCATCATGAGACTTCTGCTCGAATTGGTAAGGTACAATCGATACCATCTTTTCTATGTATTGACAAGTCTCCAGGGCTGTCATTCCGTCATGGCAATGGGCGTTTCGTTTCCGACACGCGCTGTACCGCGTGGTAGACCAATCCAGAGCCAATCTCTCTATGGCTCTGGACCAATCGCAAAGGACTGTGCCATCTGACCAATCACAGCAGTGAGGGCTCACGGAAAGGAGGGGTTTAGAGAGACTGATTCTTTGAACTGCTTCGCACGAGTCGTTTACGAATCATTTAGAAATTAGGTAAAATTAAATCAATTTTTTGAGAAAACTAACGTGTTTTTTGACCTTGCATGCATGTAAACCTGTTTTAGGAGACTCATAAACGATATCAGCAACCTTAAAAATGGCATAATAGGGGCGCTTTTTCAAATATTTTATTTCAATTAACATTTTTTCAGCCCATTAGTTCACCTAGCTGACATTGGTTTAGCACTACTAGAAAGTCCTTTTGTTATGTTATTTTACCTTCAGTATCCTGGCGAGTCAGGTTTGACACTGGTTTTCATTCTTAGATCTTAGTGAAGCTCTGGAGGATGACGCTGACCCCACACAATCTGCCATCAATGCTGTGGCAACTCTTGCTGCTGCCTGGCCACAACTGCACCAAGGTCAGATGATGTGCCCTGATATATGTCTGTCTTTAGGACCACTTTAAGAATTATAACTTTGTGCCTTTTATGAATAATATAAAAGGTTATAATATATACTTTCAGTAAATTCAAACAACCAGTGGAACCATGTTTCTTCCTTTTCTCTGTGCAGGCTGTAGTCTGAAGCAGTTGGATCTGGACAGCTGTACTCTCTCTGAGATTCTGAGGCTGCACATCCTGGCCTCAGGGGCAGATTGCATGTCCACCAATGCAAAGTTTCGCTATCAGAAACAGGGTGGGTTTGGCTCCACAGATGACCCCTGTGTGGAGCTGCGTCTGTCAAACCAGTGCCTGCTCAAAAAGCTCTCCTGCACTGCTGTCTATGACCTGCTGCCTGGTTGGTGTTTTTTTTATTTTTTATTTTTTTATTCTTTGTTAGATGTTGTTTTTTTTGTTTTTTTTCAAAACATACATTGCGGTCCAAAGTCTAAGTCTAATTTTCTAGTTTTTATAATTTTGGGGGGAAAATGATGATGATAATAATAAGTAAATAAAAAAATAATAATAAATCAACATTTTCTGATTTTGCACTGTCTAATATTGTTACATATGTGTTCAGGAGAGAAGCTAAAGATCCTCCATTCTTTGTGTGGAAAACTGCTGACTTTGGTTTCTACAAGAGACTTTATAGAAGACAATGCAGATGAGCAGAGATCTGCCAAGCAGGAACTGCGAGAGCTTAAAGCTGAACAGCATCGCAGAGAACGAGAGGAAGCTGCAGAGAGGTACGGCATAGAGTCAGGGTAGCACCATATTTCTGACAGAAATGAAAACAAGGCTGTAAGGTATACAAGTACAACAGGGTGGCCGCGGGTCCTTAAAAAGTCTTAAAATGTCTTAAA